CGAGGCATTCGTCGCAGTCAGCAACATCATCTTCGCCTTCAGTTTCGCAATTGGTCAATTCTCCTTCATGGACGAGATGCACACACCAACTGATTACATGAAGTCAATTTACGCCTCCTGCTTCATCCAAATTGCGATCTACACTCTGACTGGAGCCCTTTGCTACGCTTTCATCGGACCCTCGGTGCAATCGCCCGCGCTGCTCTCCGCCGGACCACTTATTTCCAAGATCGCTTTTGGAGTCGCGCTACCCGTCATCTTTATCTCCGGTTCGATCAATTCTACCGTTGCCCTCCGATATCTTCATGGCCGTATGTTCAAGGACTCAATTCTGCGATATGTCAACACCCCCATGGGTTGGGTCAGCTGGATCACCCTTGTGACCATCTTCACCATCATCGCTTGGGTCATCGCTGAGGCTATCCCCATTTTCTCCGACTTGCTCTCTCTGGCTTCGGCTCTCTTCGTCTCCGGTTTCTCTTTCTGGATTCCCGGTGTTATGTGGTTTGTCTTGCTCTGCGAGGGCAAGTGGTTTTCCAAGAAGAACATGTTGATGAGCTTGGGAAGCATCCTAGCCTTCGTCATCGGAATTGTTACACTTGGTGCTGGCACATATGCCACCATTAAGGATATCGTAAGTCACCTCTACCATGGAACTTCTACACAACAAACTAACATTTTACCAGATCGACATTACTTCCGATGGCTCTGCTCATGCTCCTTTCACTTGCCGATCAAACTAAACTGATTTGGTATGACTATAGATGTTCAAAAGCGAAATGCATTTTTAGATATATGATGTACATTAATACAATCTCGATTCTTGGTTATATAATAATCCAATAATTCCTATATATACAGTGATTTCATTACCTTTAGCCATCGTCATGATCAATTGTCTCGTGACAAAAGAAAGAACATTGTCGCGTAGCCCATCCGATATCAAGTGCAATTTGGTTCCCACCGGAAGTGATAAAATACCAACGAACCTTCTGAAAAAGGGACGTAGTTCTGAAGCATATTACAGACCTAAACAGTAGAGGACATATATGAAAGAAACCACAGCATCATGACGTACCACGCAAACTTGTATCATAAACATCATTAACGAGCCGAAGGATATAGCCACTCTTGGAAGCTTGACCTGCGGCGAACAGGTGATCCAGTTGAACCTTCACTTCCAACACTGGCCCGACGGTCGTTACTATTTCGTCGGACCCAGGTGTTGGTCCAGTCCGATCCGGTCGCAGGAGTTGTGGTGGTCATTACTCTCTGCTTATAGGCTATTGAAACAACTTGTCAGGAGTGATCAAAGAGAAGCATCCAGATGCGAGCACGTACACGATGAATCGTTCCTGTTGGGGTCCTCTAGAACAGCCTGGAGCTTGGCCTTGGCTTTCTCCGCAAGGGTTTGGGGTGCCATACTGACTTTATCTTTAGTTCAGTCTATTATCCTGAAAGATTTTGAGGGTTTGAAATGGTGAGAAAGTAGGAAATACAAATGAAATAGAGGAGAAACGACCTCACAATCACAAAAGAGGGGAAACGGCTTCTTATGTTACAGCAAACACACAACCTCGTGACCACCGTCGTCTTGAGGAGATGATACAGATTGTTTGTCAGCTCTCCATTAGAGCACGTTGCGAATTGCCTATTCCGGTATAAGATAAACTATCACCAACTGCTTTGCTGTGCCATCAACGTCAGAAACGCGGGGTAGCTCAACACCAACCAATTATCCAACGACTGATGTTGCGTTGGTTCAAACCATGTCACCCTCCTTTGTCAGACGGATCAGACGATTGGTTGCTAAAATGATTTGTAATAAGGGGTGTTTGGATTCGGCTCGGCAGTGTCGAGTACGGGTTGATCATGTGGATGTTTCTGCTTAGGCAGGGGAAGGCAAGAATACTTGAGACCTTTATCCTAAATGATGAACAGATTTAGACAATTTAGTCTAAGTTTAGGGGAGTCTTTACTGAATTTATTTCAGCGTCCTCTTCTAAAGTCTCTTGTTTTCTTGCTCCGTGACGTTAGGCTGATTCCAGTATCGCGTGTTGAGCTTGGTAAGATGGGCTGTTGGATTGTGTTGACTCTCAGAAGAAGCCAGTTCGAAGCGGGGTACTTAACTTAGAACTCCGTCATTCCTAAATCGACGCCGATCAAGTAAAGACTTAATTCTGCTTCCATGGACCTCCACTCTGTAAGCGTCGCACATAAGGTCCTGCATAAAACTTCGCGCATTATCCCCTTCCTTAGTCGAGATGGGAAAGTTGGGCTTGCAAATGACAATTTCCTGTCCCTTTAATCCCATGTCTTGCTCACAGTACTGCCGACGGGAAGCTTCGTGCTCGCATATGTATGGGTTTCCCCCCATGTTTACCGCAAGCAAAAAGAAAAAGACCTGCCCCTTCTTGGCGTCTGTTGCACCATGCAGTGATGTCGGAAATCTTTCTCCATTCCTCCCGAATGCGGCAGCAGCGTAGTGAGCGAATACACTGTAAGGTAACTTTTAATAAACCACGGGATAATTTTGGGGCCAAAGTTGAAACAGCCCATGATGTGGTGGTATAGAGCGTTCATTCGGAACACGATGTCCATCCGGCTTGAAAAGAGCGGATGCGGAAGCTTCCTCTTCTTCCAGAGCGCGAAGTGCTCGTCGGACAGTCCATCTTTGGAAAGTAACAAGTAAATATGACCCTCGATGAAAGCGCCGTCATGTGTGCCGCCGAAGTTTTGTTCTAGGTATTCTGATGTTAACAGCAGTTTACTTGTCCGCCGTTCCTTTCTCATGATAGGTGAAGCTAGACACAGACTGTCGAAGTTTTCGTAGCAATCAAGATAGGTGACAATCATTTCTCGTATCTCGGAAGCGAGGTGTTGGAAAGGGTCCCCGACGCCCTGAGACACGAGCTCGCTCTGGGACATGCTGGGCTTGCGATTTTGCGAGCCTGAAAATGAAGAGTTTGGAACAAGGAACTTTTCCCACATGGGATTTATTTATATTTTCGCTTCCAAGAACTTTATATCGTGGGAATATCCGTTTTCCAATTACAAGTCTATACTGCCTGAAGTTTAACCTTAACGGCTTGTCATACCTATCACTCACCAGAGTCAAAGTGATGCTCTGCGGGTCCAGTCAGACACTTTCTTATAATGAAGCCTTTATACTCGTAGCTCTGGATAGACAAGGAGGCTATACACCTGGTGGGATCTTGATTGAGTGACTGGCAGAGCAAATGCATTAGGCGAATTTCGGTGTCTAAGTAAGTTATGATTAAACAAACACCCACCCTTCCTCTCCCTTCTCCTCTGTTGCCTGATCCGATCCGTGACCAAGCATCCCGCCACCTACTTCTGCTTTTGTCAATTGTTGCCAATTTTGGAGATTTTCTCCTCTCCATCTTCTCAAGTCTTCCTCTTCCTGTACTGATTGTTGAATTTGCTGGGCCAGCCACGATGCAAATCCCACGGCAATTTCATTTCCTCTGCTGAAATAACTTTGAGGACTGTATATTGAGAAATACCTTTGATGACTGTACACTGTTGTCGAATTGGTAGGACCAGAGAGCGCCAGAACATCCATTATGTCGACAAGGATGAGAAAGGCCGTTACATGGCCATACTCCCCTGCAGTCAAGGGATATGTCTTTGGATATCTCTCCCCATACTTTCCGTACGCCTTCAAGATGAGGTGGGCGACATCTCGATCTGCATGTGTTTCGACAAATTTGCGGACGATTTCAGGGCCTTGGCTCAAGTAGACTCCTAAATGTCCATGAAGTGCATCCATATCGTACACTATTTCAGGTTTTGTCGAAAACAAGGGATCAACGAGCTGGACGTCGCGATAGCCCTGGTTGCAATACTCCTTCGCATCTCGTATCGATAAGTGGCCGTTAGAAAGACGACAGCGCAAATAAGCGGCTAGATGAAGCCAGGGATAAAACCAGGAACAAAATTTGCAAAAGACAGATTCCCAACAAATTATTAACTTGTTTGTATCCCGCTCCTGCTTCATAGCTACCGAAGCTTCACAAAGACTGCCGTACCATATGCCTAAATCAAGGCGTGTTATGATATTTTTTCGGACATTGGAAGGGAGGCGAAAAAGGGGGTCTTTGGCGGAAATATCCTTCATGGTGGTGGTGGAGGGTGCCATCTTGGGCTGAGGAGGAGCAAGGCCAAAATGTAAAGAATCAAGTTTGACGCGAATTGTAAGAGACAAGAGAACTATTTATAAATTGGTCGTGAATTTACCTTGATAGATGACTATCCTCTCAAAGCCTAATCATATGGTTTCATGAGACAGACATTGAGTAGCCTAGAAAAGCTTGATATAGTGACAGGATTTCTATTGGTTTCCCGAGCCCAGACTACTATTCGACCATCAAAGTCGAACCTTGCATATGAGAACCTTGACAATAATCAGCCAACTGTATGGTCCCAAGGGCCAGAAGACCCCAGCACATGAAGATAGAGTTTTTCCGTGAGATGAACCTTTTAGAAGTGCTTTTATTACAAGTTCTGTGTGCTGGCCATACAACTTAACTGCAAATAGTAGATCTACCATAACAACATTCATAACACAGCAGAGCACACAATTATCATATCAGAGTGCACTTGTTTATAAACAACCCGTAGTCCCAACTTCTAAGTCATCATTAATTAATTCAGATCGGGTCAAGGGCAGTAGATCAGTAGCGTCGAGATTTTCAAATAATTTGAGTCAAGATCATCATAAAGCACACCCAGTCCTCCCCGTCAAATCACCAATTCTGGCCATATCGTCTATTGCTCATTTCACCTATGACTAACCCTAGAGCCTCAGAAAACACTTTTCTCTTATAGATCTTTGTTTCAGATTATCATTGAAGTTGATGTGTGTTGACTCATTCTCTTAATAGTCTCGAGCCTTTTAGAAAAGCGATGCTATCTTGAGATCTCTAACTAGAAACTCCAAGTCAAAACGTTAGGCGTACTTGCTTTTAACAGCGAAACTAGCATTGGATAAAAACCATCTCTTCTGCTTCTTTCTGTTCCTCCTCCTCCTCTTCTTCCTGCTCCTCATTATCATAACCATCCTGTTCTTCTCCACAATTCTCAGGTAGTCCAAGCGATCTCCAGAAATCACTTAGAACTGCTCCTGGAACGTTCCTTAACCAGCACTCAACAAGCTTATGAGAACGCTGTTCTTTGATAGATCGTTGTTTCGGAGGCTCTCCTAAGCTTGTCATGAAGGCTGATGGATATTGCTCCATCATCTCGATGGCAAGGAGAAAATAGAATATCCGGAATCCCATTCCAACCATATCAATCGGCGGCATCACGGCAGGAAGGTTTTCCCCGTGTTCCCCGAAATATCGGACGAGGTAATCGCTGAACATACCATTGTAGACGTCGGGGTATTTACCCCTATATAGAGGCACCAATTCAGGGCCCAACGCAAAGCAGTTGAGCATTCCTTGGTACCTGTCATACATCTCGAAGATCAAATGTTGCTGTGGCGTACACAGTGGGTCCGGCAAGTCGATCTCAGGCATCATCCAAACATCCTCTTTTTCGTGCTCTGGAATAGATTCCTTAATCTTCGGGTACTGTACAAGCAACAAGACTTGCCGAAACATGTGATAGCCCAGCTCCTTTCGAAGGGTGTCCCAAGCTCTTAATAATTTGCTTGTCTGGAATTGGTGCCAGAAAACGGGAGATGCACGGATAAGGTACCAGAAATCAGAATCGAAATATAAATGCGATATGATAGTTTCCCGAATTTCTAAAGGGAGGCGTCCGAAGGGATCCATTTTGAGGATTCAAAACTGGTGTTGGGTATGAATAGTTGATCGAACGTGGTAATCGATGTTTGAGTGGAGATTCTTGGTCGAGATTTGGGGGTCAAGGGTGGGGGGCGGCGTTCTTTTATACCCCAGCTGATTGCTGCCTACAGTATCTAGGTACAGAGCTTAGGGGAGGAAAGAAAACTCGAGACCTTGACCCTAAATGATAAAAAGAGTTAGGTAACTTAGCCTAAGATTTAGCATAATTTTGCTGAGTTTATTTAGACACCCGATATCAAGGTCTCATGTTTTCTTGCTCCCTGAGGAGAGCATAAGGTTGAACTTTACGCTGTGATTTGTAGGCTCCACTGTTGTCACACAATTCAGCCCGGCAATTCTTGCATAACTGACTCCGAGTTAAACCCATAACTGAAGCCCAATCTCGATATTTAACTTGGTGACGACCAGCTAAGTTCTGTCTGCTGATTCAAGCTCTCAGCCACAAGCCTCAGCTGCAAATGACACATCCAGCGAACATTTTAGACATGATACCATAATAAGTAACCAATTTCTACGTGACGACCAGCTTCGCACCAAAGTGAGCTAATAAATAAGGTTTTAAAAAACCTTAAGAAGGTCGAGTTAGTTTCGTTAAGTGCTCGCCAATTTAATTAGCCTTGGATAAATCAAGCTAAGACACGCACGGCCAGCCTTCCAAAAAGCTTGAAGCTAATTGGGTTTTTCAGGTATGTTGGCCTTATATGTCTTGTTGAGACATAAGCTTTAGGTACCAATCAATACGCACGGTCAGGTTGATCCGACCCAAGGACTTTCCGACAGACTTGCCACGCAATTTGAGAAAAGAGCTGGCCTAAGCGATTTTCCAGAAGAGTCAAAGTGAGAGATACTTGGTAATAGTACCCAGAATAGGTCTATAAAGATACTCAATCGGCCGGACCCTCTTCTCGTGCCTGTTGGCATCCTCTCTTGTGTCGTCGTTCGTCGTAAAAACACCCTTGACCTTCTCACAACAACATCGAGGTTACGATAAACGGCAGGTCCTCTGGTATTGGAGATTGACAAGTAATATGTAAAAAACTGATCAAATGCGCCAGTGTGCTTTCGAGACTTCCCGTAAGGACGAATACATAAGTAGAGGTTTGTTCTGGTTACCCCCTCGCTTCGATCCTCTCCTCTATACAACTTTCACAGTCGTAAAATCATCTGCCATATTCGTCTCTCCATCTATAAAGACGGTTATGTAAGCTCCAAATCTGTTTTCTTTCTTCTATAATACTGTTTTGAGCCTTTAATACAGAAGTGAAAGGGCCAAGGAAGCTTGTAAGAACACACACACACAGCACCAAAGTTGGAACCGCATCTTTTCGTTCTGAGAGGTCCCGCATAGTATAGTCACAATAATAACCTTTGCGCTGAGCTTGTTACACTGGATCTGATCGCTTCCCACCTTTCAGTCCCTAGATACCATGGTTGAAGCAGTTGCGATTCGTGTAAAAATGGAATGCATGAATAGTAATTGCCTTCAGGATCGGGGATAGGGGATACATTATGAGGCCAATTTTGCATCGCCACGCCTCGTGAGAGTACACAACACATTCCGCACTATAACGCTCCGTCTTGACATCTATGTTGAACGTCTGTAGGACCGATAACTTGAAAGTTTACAGTCAACAGATATTTCAAGACCAAAACCCTGCTTTCAAACCTTTAAGGTCCGGGTATGCATACATAAGATATCCAAACAAGCTCATGGGCGCTCGAATACTTACACTAGTTGTAAACGCCAAAAGAATTTGAGTTTGAGAACCACTGCAGCTATGAGTTTGACTGGTAGGCTTTAGCATCCTGTCAACTTAAACTTTTGTACATATTAAAAGCCTACTAGCCTTGCGCAGCTGTTGACAGCTGGCAAACATCTACCTCCCTCCAAAAATACCCCTGACTGCACGACACTCCTGGGAGGTGAGCTCCTGCTGTGAAAATTCCTTTTCGTAAGAATATTTTCTTTTCTTCTCCTTCTCACAGCATTCATTTCACCACATTTGCATTCATTTCACCACATTTCTGATAATTACGCTCTTATCAAAACATCATGGATGCCAAGAATGCACAGCGGCGCGAGGAGCTCAAAGCCCTGATTGACGAACGCTTCCAGGGTGTTGTCAGTGACCGCGCTTACAAACGCTTGAAGGATGTGGTGGGAACTCACCGAGAGCAGCCTTTCGAGGTGCCCGGTCCTTGGCTTCAATTTACTCCAAACAAAGCACAGGAAAGGCGGAAGCTCATGTCGGATATTCGGGTCATGATTCGAACGCTTCACCCGAACTTCGAATTACAACATCGCCATGCTGTTGCCATTATGATGGCGTGCCCTGAGATGATTGGCCCCCGCGGATTACTGTCACATGGAAGACCGCCTCAAGTCCTGCTGAATGCTCTCGATAATGTCTTTAACTTTCAAAGGCACTGTAAGTAGTAATACCGGACTTCTTCAGTTTCATCCTGTTAACGAGTTCTCAGTTGTACAACAAAATGCGCCAGAAGGAGGTAATTCAGGCGACGTCCAGCAGGAAGATGGGCAAGCAGACAACTCTTCGATAACCCGAAAGTCACGCAGCAAGCCGGAAAGGGAGGAATGCCACAAGTACGATGATGGCATGTGCATCGTAACAAAGACGGCTCACCCACATGTCTGCCACATCGTTCCGTTTTCCTTCAATTCCTCCAAAGCCAACGCTGAGAAGACCAAATCCTACATTGACGCCATCGGTGTAATGTTTGGACAGGAGTTTCACGATCGATGGAGGAACGTAATCGCCAACCCCCATCCCCATGGCAGAGGTTACTCTGATAAGCACTGGAACATGCTTTGTCTGAGCCCTCAGTTGCACGACTGGTGGGGAAGAGGTTACTTTGCGTTCGAGTACATCAAGTCTGTACAATATGGTGAGGATGCCAGGATTGAGCTGGAGTTTCACTGGATGCCCATAACTACCTTCAGCTATCATGATCGAAAAGGTGTAACCGCGCATTGGGATGGCATTCAAGATGCGCTTCGACACCATCATGCCACCCAGGCCGACGACCCTACCACCCCTTCCACGTTCCCTGGAGACCATCATCAACGGGCTCCTGGATTTGTAAAGGCCTTTCTCGATAATGGGGAACCACTTACAACGGGGTACAGAGTTTACGTCTGGAGACCGCAGAAAGTTGTGGGAGCTTTCAAGGCAATGGTTGATTTGCAGTATGCTGCTATCAAGATGTTAGCTCTCTGTGGTGGTGCAGGCAACCCTGACCTGCTTGGAAAGGACGATGACGACGATACCGTGGCTGGTGCGTCGGTCAGTAGCTTCAATGCTTTCGTCCAGTCTGTGGGTAGCACAGAAGAACCGGATGTCCAGCTTGATGGTCTCCGAATCTAGACGTGCTTGACTTCGGAATGCTCCGTTCATTCGGTTCAACGCGTACCTGAGCGTCCAACAAAGGAGCCGGGTCTGTAGGATCTTGGCTGACTAGCAAGATCCGGTTGAAATGGTCTTGTACCTATAGCATTAAACCCCATTGTCATCTTGTGCAGAAAAGACTTTTGGGGCTGGCCCTCTCTCCTGGTTTGGAAGGGAGAGGTGCTGGCGGGCGGAGAAGTCGGACTCTACAACCTCCACGTGGTGCCGCCTGGGAACCTGTTGATTACCAGAGCCAATGTAGAGACGCATTCTAAGACAATGAAGGTCAGTTGCAAGTTCCCCGTACCCCGAGGCAATTCTCATCCAATGGAGAGCTAACTAGCCACCCCACCATCGTTTTCGCATGAACGCGCTCGCAAAAGTCTCGTATACACTGCCCCTCACTCAGGAGGCCCACCATTTCTATCACGACCGAAGCATTACAATAAGGGTCTGAAGTCCACCACAGATCTGAAACAAGCGCGCATCATGAATCGCTTATCAAATATGTCATTCAATAAGGAAGGGCCCCCATGGTCGTGTTGGTATAAGGGATGGCACTCCATTCGAGTTACAGTAGAATCACTGGCGACAGATTGGCGGTAGTAGAAACGATGTGCTGACAATTGGGACATAGCTCTCCATATAATTTCACCTCTCAATGGGACGACGGGCCACGATTGGTTGCAAGACATGTGCCCGCCAACAAAACATCACAATCAGACTTAATCTCCATCCTCCAAACTCAATAGGAGTTTCCGTCGATTTAATCTCTCCCAATTCGGAATAATGAGCTTCCACCTGACAACTTCAAATCCTGTCTATTTCCTACCACTGAACCCACACCTGACGTCCGCTTCTTTCCGCCAGTAAACCCGCACCGCCCAAAAATAATACCAAGTGTCGTCTTGCAGATCATCCGCCGATGTGAACTTCGAAGATGGCGAAAAGGGCTTGGTTATATGACTGTAGTACCGTATTGACGAGTCGAGGCGGTCAGATGACCTATTGAGACAAAGCCCTCCACGGCCTTGATCGCTAGAAGAGTCTTGCCAATCTGGCATTACCGCGTATCTACGCATCCACGATTCACAATTAAAATCGTTTCCACATCTAAAGCCTGTTAGCCCATGATCGTCACAAGATGTAGTGATGAGCCCTCACCTTGACAGCCCCCATGTTTGTCCTTGACCCCTGCTCGCAACGTACTCTTACACGCGAGCGCCAGTTCGTGATCCGTTCGTCAGGAATGACACAGCAAGACTACCGTTAGCATTTGATACAAGACCATTCAAAGGAAGGGGGGCAAACCGACCGTTGTAGAGTTGTTGATACGGATAAATGAGGAGGGAGATCGCACTTGCAAGATGAACCGGTAGCCTAATAAACTTGGTTAGTCAAGCCACAACCAAGGACAAATCGTACTTACCATGGAATTGACCGTTTCAGCCATCAAATCCACTTAAGTCTGCAAACTGATTGCGATTACGGCACGACCTGTTTTGTGAGTTCACAGCATGTCACTGGGCATCAGGCTACCTGAGGTTTCCCCATTGCGCGCGGGGCGGTGCCCCCGTGGCGCTCATTGATCTGGACCGAGATTAGCTACCGAACAGAAAACTGTTCCGGTCCAAGAATCTTACTCATTTTTGTTGCTAAAAAAACTACTGGAAGAAGGTTAGCAATGAGTTCATGACCATTAGGCATAGTGTCTGACTCACGTACGGGATTCTGAGTGACTAGAAAGCTAGAATCAGTCCTAAATTGGGTTGTCAAATGCGGTAGTGGTATCAGTACTAGTGCTTGCCTCGCTTGAGACATGTGAGCATGGATTCAAGAGAAGAGCACCGGGTCAATTCGTACTTGATAGAGAAGGTTTACTAGAAGGATGTCAGTCTTCGTCATTCTAAAGCCAGTCATGCAGCTACTCACTTCGGAGGTGGGCGTGACGCCCTCGGCCTCAGCACCGCCCTTCTTTAATGTCAGTATAATACACCTGTCTGGCAGGAACATACTTACAGCGGCAGCGCTCTCCTCACGCTTCTTGTTCTATGAGTCCATCAAGTCAACCACGATCAGCAAGTATACTGGGAGTCTATCACTTACGAGGCTCTCCTGAAGGAAATTCTGAGTATTGTCAATATGTGTTGCTTATACCAGGGTCTCAACTTACCTCGGAGGAGACACCGAAAGCCTCCTCGGCACCTTGTTCCTTGAGTGTCTAAAACTTGTCAGCGGTTCATTCGAAATGTGTATGAATATGTTACACACCGCAAGTTCGTTGCTCATGGTCTGAGTAACAGAAAAAAATTAGTTAGGCTAGTATTTTGGGCAAGAGGCTGAATGTACTTACGTTGATAGAATCGGCGTCGTCCTATATAGTATGTCAATGTATCTAATCGGTATTACAGAGTGTGGTGATGGTACTTACTCGGCACAACTTGGTGACTAACTCGATGCGCTCCGAAAGGCGCGCCCGCTCACGGTGGCACCACTATAACTCTTGTCAGTGTTGTTCTCTTACACTCAAATGCGGCTTCTGAAGCAAGGCAGCCTTCAGTATTTGATTTGAACATACCTTGAGGTCATCCGTGTTGAACTATGAAAGTCTACTGTCAGATGCCTATCAATAAACGGTTTGCAGGAAGCCTTACATCGAGCCGAGCTCGCTTGTACTATTTTCTCTGTCAGCCATGTTTTCATACAGCATCCTCTGGGTCTCTTACCGCGACCTTGGCTTCCATGTGCTGAGTTATAAGAACCGTCAGTGACTTCCCCTTCGACACATATCGGGAGTTGCGTGAGACTTACGGCGACATTGGTGTCGTAGTTCTAAAAAGACATTTAGTGACCAACGATCAATATTAGTACAGTGATGGGACAGGCTCGTGATACTGACTTTGCGTTCGGGCTGCGAATTATTAGAAAGGTTTGCCACTGCATTCTCAACTTAAACTGAAGACGTGTCGCCAACATAATCGAGGAGCATGGAAGGTTACTTACAAAGCGCTTGGGCTCAGGGAGCCCAGGCCAAAAGGCCCGGGGGGACGCAGAGGGGGCCTCAGCCGAAGGGCCATCGGCGAAGGGGAGGGGCTACCGTAACTTATCAGCAATGCTTGGTACCATCTAGATAACAACTTCTTCAACTCACACGTTTGGCCACAGGGGCCGGGGCCGGGGCGTCGGTGGTCTGGTCGTCCTTCAAAATGTCAGGTGCGCTTTCAACTATACTTCGACTGTAGGGTGGGACAACATACTGCCTTGCGCTTCTATAAAAAGTAATTCTGGTCAGCATTAAGAATTTGAGGAGGTGACGGAAAAGTACTTACTTTCCCCGCGACGGGGGTTGTCTTGGGCTTCTGAAGTGTCATTAGCATATTGTCCGTGAACCTGGTGAATGATATTTCCTACAGCAGCCTTCTTTCCGGAGTTGTTCTGGACTTGCGTTAGCAGCTGACATATGGTGGTACTCTCAAGCATGTGTAGAGAGGCTGGGAGTGGACAGTTGAATACTTACGGAGTTCTTTCTGCCGGCCATGCTATCGCTATGTAAGGAACCCAGAATGTCAACGGCTTATCAGTTTGGATTCAAACCTACTTGGTGGTTGTTCGGCTAGGAGAAGAGTCAGCTTGAACACTTCTGAGGGACTCCGAGGAGTTGGACGTCGATCGAGGGGAGGGACTCACAGATTCGGGAAGGAAATTGAGCTACCACAGGCAAGAATGTTAGCAGGCTTTTAATCTCTTCCCAACGCCAAATCAACTCACAGCTTGTTGATAAAAAAACACCTATCGCGAAGAACTACACGTCAGCGGCCACACTTTGGGAAAAGGGGGGGACGATTTTCATTAGATACGTACGCTGCTCACACTAGTCAGTAACGTAATACGAATGGCTTGGGCATTTCGAGGCGAAATGTCCCAGGAAAAGGGTACTTACCGGCGGAAGACGGTGGCGGCGATGTTGTAGGAGGAGGAAAGAAGAGCAGAGAAGAGCTTCACAGTATTTCGTGAAATCAACGCGTTCGCACGGACCATCTTATCAGAAACCACAATAGCTGCACACTGGTTCCCGTTTCTTACAATATGGGACAGAGTTCGAGTCGGGGTCGAGGCATTCAACTGCAAAATCTCTCAGAGGTCTTCGTCACTTTTCATCTGGATACACAACAAGCTTGATTCGGTTGTCTTTCATTCTTTTTCTCTACTTCAAGTTGCAAGTTTTGTCCTTTTTCCTTGGTATGGTTGAAGCAAGACTTGACAAAAAGGCACTGAGTTAATCACATATTATGATATAGTGTGAATCCTAACATACTCAACTACACTAAATTATCCCAAGTTTTACAAAACTACCATAAACTTACCTAAGAACCTTTTTAGCTAAGGATAGAGATGACTTCAAACTTCTTTCCATCGCCGAGAATGGAAGAGGTGGCTTGAAATGTTGAACCTCGACGATGCATCACACCTGGAGCTGGGATTCGTCCAGTTGGTCCGTGCTCACGGGATATTTTGATCACTGTTGTCGAGACTGCCCTCATCCACCTTTCTCCTCTTCTCCTGTAACATCTCCATCGCCACATTTATCATCTCTTCATATCGAAGATCTCTCGGCGACATGCATAACGCCAACACGTTTAGAGAAAGCAACCGAATTCTCTGTTGCACGTGCAAGAAGCACAACGGTCAACATGCCGTAGCCGATCAAGCCGTCGGCAAACACCATGTCTAATCAACCAAGCCCACAAGTATCCAATCCTTGCTCTATGAGGCCTCTTCATATTCACCTCAGAGAGGACCGATGTCCCATGTTAGGTTGCTAATACCGGTATGGAATGAAGACGAGAAGAAGACTGCCGTTAGAGTGGCCCGGCCGTCCCTGTGAGTGGAATATCGTCTAGAAAGTACCAAGACTTACTAACAGACTTGGATAGCCACCTCTCGTAGCCTCCCCTCGTCAACACAGTCCCTCCAGCGGCGACCCCGACCGCCCCTCACGCCACCACCTCGAAGACGAGTACCTACTTAACCCAACGACATCATACTGCTTCAGCGGGTTGTTCTTGACTCCGGATGCAGACATATGATAATGAAAGGCAGTGAGAAAGGTCGTGTGTTTGCAAAAGTCAGGTTAGATTGGTTGGGTATTATTAGCAGTGGTCGCCCATCGGATGAGATCTGGTCACGTTGGTTTATCAGGCGGAATCCAAATTGAATTTAGACTTCCTTCGACAGACTGCTACATCTCCATGTATCCTTGCTGCTTCGTGACCACTGGGGGTTGGCCAGTTGTTTTGTTGCCCGTTTGTTCGTACTTTGCCAAACCCCAGTCACTCAGTTCAATAACCAGGGCCAAAACGAAAGAGAGCGGAAACTTCTATTTCGATCTCACAACATGACGATTACCCCTATGTAAAAATTGCCGGTATATATGTAAATATGGAAGGGTCCCGTTGAAGAGAACTCAGGGCGCGTCAGTTGGGTCCCTGCACAGTTGTTAGTCTTCAACTCAAGTAATTTCGAAGATGAGGTTACTCACCAATCTGTGACCAAATGCTCATCCAAACCATCCAGTTCCTTCATATCAGCCTCCGAGATCTCAAACCCATCAACGCTTGCGTTCTCGATCATACGCTTCTGCTTGGTACTCTTGGGGAGAGTGATGAAGTCATGTTGAAGCCCCCACCTAGACAACGTCAGTACACAAAACGCGGTACAGGTTGGAAGCCATACTTGACAAATATTTGAGCAGGTGTGACGGAGTACTTCTTGGCCATGTTGACAATGGCAGGGTGATCCATGCGCTCGGCACGAGCGAGAGGAGCGTAGGCCTCGATGGCGATGTTATGTTTGGCGCAAGTGGCGCGGATTCCTTCTTGGGTGTTGAAAGGGTGAACTTCGATCTGGTTAATCACGGGAGGGATACGAGGGTTGGAAGCCATTAGTTCCTCGATCTTGAGAGTGTCAGTATCTTCACCGCGCAGCAGGGGACATGAAACTCACATGAGCGGAGCCAAAGTTGCTCACACCAGCAGCACGAATCTCGCCCGCATCAACAGCATCCTCCAGCGCCTTCCAGCTCGTAAGTCTGGCTGTCTTTCCACCATATGGACTATGAAGGAGGAACAAGTCAATGTATCCCAATCCCGAAGCCTCAACAGATTTCTTGACAGATCGTCGCACAGCATCATACGACTCGTCGCAGCTGGCGAGCTTGGAGGTGTACCAAATATCCTCGCGCTTTAGACCCACCGTGTTTTCACCACTGGCGAGAAAGTCGCTGATGGCTTTGCCAGCTTGGCGCTCATTTTGGTACATCTGCGCGCAGTCAAAACCGCGGTAGCCGGTGAGAAGGCCCTGGCGAACTGCATCGGTGGCTTCTTTGGTGGACATCATGTAGAGGCCGAGTTGGATGCGGGGGATGATGAGGCCATTGTTGAGCTGCGAATGTTAGCGAGCGCATTGCGCGTTTGGATGGATCGTACCTTGGCCGTGGCAGCGAGAAGTGAGGGCTGAGACGCCATTTTTGCAGAACTCTTGGTTGGTGAAGGAAGCGAGAATCTGAGATGGTGATGATGTCAGGACATTGCGATCTGATAAGAGATTGACGGGGCCGACATCGCTGGGTCCCTCAGTGGGGGTGACGTAAGAATAACGACGTCGCATCGCGAGAATCCCGAACTTGGGCCAAGAATATTCCAAAAACAAAAAAGAAGCAATTCTTCAGCTTCATTGCTAGTTTCTCGTAGCAAGTTGCTAATTGTCTCTCTGCGATGATACCGCTTGTCACACGAAGGTGCGGTGACACGGCATGCAGAATTGCTCTGTCCTCTACGCCCATTGGCGCCGGATTCCACAGCCTCATATCCAAGGCGGATTAGAAAATTCTCAGCTACCGGGCTTGAGAATTTTCTTGCGCTTCAGCCGTTGCCGAAACCGGGGGCTGGATTAACTTCGAACCTTCAAAGGCGGTGCGACATCCGACTGCTCAACGGTCACGTTCGAGTTATATGCTTCAAAAGTTTGTTATTCACATTTTTGAACTGATATGAAACCCAAGAAAACATTCTCCAGATGCAAAATGCATAAATGCAGTACTCTACATGCCACCGCCGTCAATCGCTCGATTGTCCTTTCATTCCCATCGTACGTCCCCTCTTTTGTTGACCACCAAACTTCACAGTAACGTCACCTAAGCTCAGTCCTCTGAAAGCATCTTCTCCACTCTTCTTCCAACCGTCACACTCCAACCATCAATCTTTTTGTTCCACAGATCCGTCAAGTAAAAGGTGATGGTCAACAGGACCACCCAGCCGATCGCGTATCCGCCCGTCTTTCCGAAGCTGTCGAACAGTCTCGGCATAATCCAAAAGCCCAAGCTATGCAACACAGGTCCGTGGACGAGATACAATGAGAAGCTGACCTTGCCGAGATACTGCGGGAGGCGGCTTTCAAGCAGGCGAACGAGCACCGGACTTCGCAGGATGCACGCAACAAGGAGCACGGCGCCCATCGCCTCGTAGAACATCCATCCAGACAGTGGTGTGTAGTACTTGGGTACCCAAGTCGAAAGGTAAGCGAAACCGGGTGTGTACTCAGCACCAGAGTCAGGATATGACAAGAAATACAACGCCAAGACGATACCAGCCCATCTCAACGCCGTTCCCTTTGTCGTCCGCTGGAAGTCGCCTCCGCGACCCTTCGCGCCCGTAGCCGATGGTGGCAGATCTGATGAACGTCGAACATCATGCTCTGACAGCAACATACCGCCCAAGAAAGTCGCCATGTCCCATCGTCCGATGAAGAGACTGTACGCAGAGAGGAAGCAGCCGATTCTTGTGCGCCATTTGGCCTTGATAGCAGCTGTGCCGAGGAGGAAAATGTAGATGACCATCGAGCCACGGAACTCCATCGGAATTGTGAAGGTATGCGGGTCATAGCGTGTATGGTAGTGGCCGAAGTTGAACGGATTGGCCCACTCGGCGTAGGATCTGGTAAAGTTCTTCATCGCGTATGTCAAGTTCGGGTGGATGAAGGGATGCTCTTCCCATGAGCCTCCCATCTGAACCCAAGTAAGGTTCAGTGGGTTGGTGGCATTGGTGGCATTACCGAAGGTGAGATCCAGATCGTCTTCGTCATCGAGGTAGCTGAGAGCTGCGAGTCGTTCCATACCAGTGGTGTCCTTAACAGGCTTGGTGGAGTTGGTGTCGTTCTTGGGAAACTGGGCCTCATACTCGGATTCCAAGGTGTAGAGTTGAGACGGTCCATACGATCGCGTTGTGTGATTGACACAGAGGAGCATGTCTGTCCATTCTGTAGTGTTTCCTTCAGGATACCCAGTGGTATTGCGCAGATACGCGGTGGTTTCTATTCCCAAGTAATTCGCGATACCTGTAGCTCCTCTCACAGCGGTGCCATTAGCACAGAAGTTACCCTCAGCCAAATCGGCATGAGTAATTGTCGCATTGATGTAATGAGAGTCAGGACCCTTGTAAATGGCGAACTCAGACTTGAAGACACCGATTTGAGCTAGCACAGCGACAAGGAACATGCTGATGGTGGGAGGAATGTAGAGGCGAAAGACACGTCGGAAAACAGATGAGGCAAGCTTCTGATAAGCAGTATCAAGCTTGCGCTCATGGATCAAGCGGAGAATATGGCGGCAAATAACATAACCAGAGATGGCGAAGAAAATGGCAACCATAGCACGTCCACGATGCAACAGGCAAATAATTGGTAATGACTGCAATCCCCAATACGGCTCAGGCGCACGCGGAGGGAACGCGCCATAGCCTAACATGATAGCAGGTGTCCATGGCCAGAAGAAATGGTAATTGAAGACAAGAAGACATGCGATTCCGCGCAAGCCGTCGAGGCATCTGATCTTGTCTCTGTTGAAGCGCGAGGCTGGGGCTGAGGATGAGGGCTTATCTTCGTGCTCGGAGCGAGGCAGCAGATCCGGCTGTTGCCCGCCCATGCTGACGGATTGTCGTGATCTAGCGATTGGAAGCATTCATGCGTGCGCAATGAGAGTGGCTTCAGTTGGCGCGTGATGAGGGGGAATTGTTGTGTGAAGGTTTGAAATGACGAGGTGAATCAAGGGAGGCTGAAGTCGTACAGAGTGTCCTTGATACGATCCATGTTCACGATGACTAAAGTGAGGTAAGATCTACAAACGGTCTAGCCCCTTATGGTAGCGGCGCCACAAGAGAGTTGCGCCGCAGTAGCCACAACGCAATTTACTCTTGTAGGGTAAGCTGCCAGGCGACAGTTTAGACTTTGCAACGCGTCGCCAATAAAGTTCAAAACATTGGACTGAACATGGGAAGATGTCGCCAGTTACAACAAGTTGCAAAAAGATACAGCACCAGCAAAAGAAATGCGTAATCAGGGAATCGAACCCTGGGCTCCCCGACGCTGCTCGAATGGCAACGGAGAATTTTACCACTAAACCAATTACGCTTAGCTGACTTGTTTCGAGTTGGCGAAGTTGGGATTCTTGGAGGCGACAGCGGCTGCAGCTGATACGAAGCTGTAATGCAACACTATCATTCGTATCTCATGTCCGAATAGTCATAGAAGATCATCTGTTGGAAAGGATAAAGATGCAATTTATAAGAAACTCGAAGATTGCTCTGACTTCCACACTTGTTTTTCTAGTTTAATTGAGTCTTTGACCTGAGATTTGTATTGAGGTCAGACAAATCGCCACTTACCCGGCACCATAATAAAATTCTTTATCTACAACAGTCATTCCGATTATATGTTGCGATCAAAGTGAATCATCTTGTCCTCCATGTCGCTAAGGATACATGTTACTGAATTGAGAGATAGCAAAACCAATTCTCTACCAGCTGCGGGCCAAAGAGCAACGGCATATTAATTGAACAAATGCGTAAACTAGAACGATAAGAGACGCAGCCCATCAAGCAAATAAGATACGCGATACAAGATTGGCCAAACACTCAATCAGCTATTGTGGTACGGAGTATGTGTTGGGCAATCAATTTATCACAGGCTGGGGTCTGACGATGAGGCATTTCTGGGCAAACACAAAAAGTCAGCATGGACTTGACGCGAAGCCATTTCAGGCGACGAGAAGCAAAAAGAAGAGGTTTGCCGTCAGCAAGACTCGAACTTGCGTTTTCAGTGCTTTCAATAGCCACAAACTGATGTACTGACCCCTATACGATGACGGCTTTGCTGGTTGTTGATGGGTCCCCCGCCACTAATTCTGCAACTTGATCCTCCACGACCCACAGCTCCATTCAAGGCCAAACATGACAACACTCGTTGTGACGATGTTCCTTGCTCGTCTCTATTCGCATGCACTCGATCTTTGCCGTCCTCGAACAATACACGGCTGGAGAGGTAGATCCGGTTCCGCTTTCCAACACCAGCACCAGCACTTTATAACCTTTCCTTACCATCAAACGTCTTCTCTTCAGGTTTTCATGGTACCTTTCCGAAGGTGCAGAGACAGGCTTCTGAGAACTCACCAACGTTGAGCCAATATTGTGTTGCATCGGTAGTGACAAGTAATCAGCACATCCTGCTATCAAATCCGTTGCCATAATCATTCCGATCACCACGCCCTTGAGCACGCTTCATCTCATCCTCCCTCCTAATGCTCGTCACATAACTGCGGAACCGATTACACATTTCCAAAACCTTCTGGAAATGGGCTTTGGTGACAACTGTCACCAGTGCAGCATCATAGTCCGGGTCCTCTTCGCTTTCAAACTCTGCCAGCGTGATGGCTGTCTGTAATGCGTTGCGAATGTCTCTCCCGTTGAGGTTCGTCTCGCCAGCGGTGTCAAGAACCCATTTCTTCGCGTCTGGTGCGATCTGTACCTTGCCAGCGCGTTCGCGCACCAGCTTACGGAAAAAGCCGCTCCAGACCTTTCGCCTGGTTTCTTCATCGAGAGCCTGGTATCCGATTGCGACGTGGACTCGTGAGATGAAAGCGTCGTCAATCTGTCCGACGCGGTTCGTGGTCAGGAACAGAAGACCTTTGAAGTATTCCATTCGTCGGAGGAAGGCTGTGGATGAAATGTTACCTCGCTTCCGTGAGAGAAAGGTTCGAGCAGCAGCTTACCTGATACAAGTCCGTTTCGGGCGAGGTCTCGATTTTGCCGTCGTTCGAGGAAGATGTCGGCTTCATCGACAAGAAGAACTGCGTTCCAGGCCTCAGCAAGATCAAACCACTTCATAAGCTCGCCTTCCACGAGCGTCTCGACTGTGCCGATATCAGCCACTGTGAGAGCAAGGAGTGGCCGATGTAGCCACTCAGAAATAGCTTCTTCGTTTCGTTAGCGAGTGCTCACTCTGGTCAGTCACCACTGACGTACCGACAGTGTAAGTTTTGCCGACTCCAGGAGGACCTAGAACGAGACTGTCAGTTGGGAACAACATAATTTGCTACTGAGGAGAGATACCGTGTAGCAGGATGATTTGCCCTGATCCCTTCCCCTCAATGAAATCCGCTGTCCAGTGCCTTATCTCACTATTCTGGCGATTCGAGAGAGCCTGGATTGTCCTCAACTCATCCTGGGCGATAATCAGATTTGAGATACTTTCATCGGATGGCACAGACTCTTGAACGTAGTCAAGAGAGATCAGCACTAGAATAAAATCAGTGTCGCTGCGAAAATATTCAAGAGAAATATATGAGCTTACTCCAGTGCTTGCGTCTTAGTCCATATGCCAGAACGTCTGGGCATAGCAGAAGGAGTTGATGCTCGGTGAGCTGTTGAACAACGGAATCACCAGCCTCTGCTCGAAAAGCCTTCGGGGAAAGATGTTCGGGTACATCGTCGAGCCATACCTGCAATCGCTCCTGGTTCACTACGGCGTCGTCGCTTTTGGCGGGTCTAGACTTTTGATCTGCGGGACGGTTCTGAGTACCTTGTGTGGTGTAGAAAGACCTATCGTTGTTGATGAGAATTCGATCGTACTCCCTGAACCGATCTGAATACTCATTGACCGGGAGGGAAAGGGGTCGGGAGATGTTGGACTCGGCTTGCCCTCTTCGATGGTCGATAACTACCTTTCCTGTGTACTATGGATGCGTCAGTGACAATTGAAGCATTTATCGGCTAATCCATATCTTACATATTGGGCGGTTTCTTGAATCGGGCCCTTGTAGTCTACTAGGAGATTGCCACGTTGAAGCGCCTTGAAGAAGATCGCAGCTCGTCGTAAAATTCTCTCACGTCGCTCGCCACCGTCATGTGCATCCCAAATTGAAACTGGACACACTTGAAGTCTAGTGACATCTCGGAGTCCAGAGTAAGGGGAGATAGTTACGGAGAAAAAGCCCTTTCCGAGCCTGGAGCCATCACTCTCAAGCCGCCAGAGGTCGACCAGCCACGACCCGTCACTCCCAGCTCCCCAAAGCTTAGACACAGAGACATCAGTCCGCATGACGCTCCGCACAACTGCAGCATGAGTTGATCCTTCAATCTGTACATACACATCTATCCCAGGTTTGAGGAGATACCAGATCATGCCAAACTCAACCTGCGGGACGGAGTTGGAAAGGTGCTTTTGACAGGTCAAGATGGAGTCAGTGTAAATTGGCTCGAGGAACTCCATCAAATGCTTTGCATGGAGTACCGTCAAGTGATTCTGTTGACCAATACCTTGACCCTCGGTATTGTACTCCGTTGTCCTGGTACTTCCATTAGCCATAGCTGCGATGGCATCAAAATGGTGGAATAGGACGGCAAAAGGCTCCTCAATCCTCAGCTCTCCCCTTTTTGAGTCATCTAATAACATCTGATGGAATGACGGATAATATTGAACGAGTTCACTAAGGCCTTCAACAAGGTATGGGGATTATACCACCAGATGTCGCCGGGAGACATGCTTTGGATTCAGTAGATCAAGACAAGACGAAGTCACTCTTTCCGGGAGCCTTTTCAGTCTCAATAGCTTATACTGATCAATTTCTGCCTCGACAAAGGTTTCGATGGTTATGACGGGTCCTGTCCACGCCTCGGGCTCTGGCACATCATCGTCTGTCTCAGCTGGTGCCTTCGTAGGAGGAAGGCCAATAGAAAACTCTATAGGCCGATCATCGACGTAGATCAGGTCAGGTCGCTGTAAGCGGATGTCATCACCACGAGGCTCTCCTAGGATCTGGTAGACTTTGGCGTTCCAAATAATGGCCGGCTCGGAAGGTGGATACACTGCATCTGAGTCCTTAAGCTGTCGGAGCTTGGGCAGATCAATCACAAGGTCTCTTTTCATCCCACTACGAGGGACAGCTTCTCTCTCAGAATCATCATATCCCAATCTCATGTCCCAGTTATCACCACGATCATTGACGTATGGGGAAGCAAGGTATTGTCGCGAGCGTTGAACGTCAATTGGGCGGCCCGAGGCCGCTGAAGACGGACTGACAGACTTTTCCGTGACGTCCGTATTAGACCTAACTGTTGGTGTCATTTTTGATGAGGTTTGACCGTAGAAATTGAGTTATATCCCAGAGAGCGAAAAAAGGATCAACAGGGTTAGTGAATGCTAGACTGATGCTCTTGCGCTGATATCAGCAACAGAGCGGCTGAGGGGGACAGACAATGAAAATGGATGTAGAGAACAGGCCCACCCCACCATCATGTAGTGTGCTTACATGACACGTCAGCAAGAGGGGGCGACTCAGCCTACGAAGACTCAAGAGAATTGGACACCACGTAGCTGGTCCATGTCTTGTCTGAGGGAGGGATGAAGGAAAACAGCTATCGCAGGCGTAATAGCGCGACTCCACAACCCTGTTCACCATGATGACTGAGTTATACTGAGAAGAAAGCAGTCATTGCGAAAAAAAAGAATCAAGAGGGGGTGGCAGGGGTTAGGAAACAGGACGAATCAACGCTTGATGTGCAGATTAGACCCTGTCAGCAGCTAGCCAACAGTGCTTGATGAGGCTGATGTACATCATTTGGAGAAGAAGGAGATTAGACTTTCGTTCACCATCAAATTTTCTAGGTCATGAATAGACTCAAGAAAGGTGAGCCCAGTAAGGGAATCACCCGACGATTCAGCGATGATGTTGTGAATTCCACACCGGAAGAACCCCTCGGTCGAGCCCTGGCGGCGAAGGTGGCGTTTGACAGAAATCGAGAACGATCGAGGTCGGCGCGAGATGAATGGGACCAACTTTTACTGGAGGGAAGGGAACTAGCCAATGACTGTGTTCCAGACGAAGAAGCTGTTCTATTTGAACAAAGTCGGAGGCTGTATGCAGCATGGGACAAATTCCGACGCGACCTCCCCAAAGACCAGCAGATGCAACTCGAAGGACGCGACCGGCCAGATATCAATTACCTCGTGGCCGCAGTCAGCAAAGCTTCAGCCACATGGCAGGGGGATCGTGACGAAAGTAAGCTGGGAAAGCTCAAGTCTAAATTTCACGGCCTTTGCGAGACCTGCCACGACCACAGCTCACTGCTATCCATTATCCCCAAAGATGATAAATATGTCACTCTACTGACGGGGTCCCTGTCGGCCATCGCTCAGGCGACCATCAACCACCAGAAAATCGCTGAGGGGGTAGCAGATACCCTCGACGATCTGTGCCATGATATTGATTTCTGGAACCGGCAAATGATGGAGCATGGAAATATTCCATCACTTCGGCAGTATATTCAAGAACTCTACGTGATTGTATTTGAGTTCTTCACGGAGGTCTTCAATAAATGGTCTAAGTCTGGCTGGAAACGTTTCCTCACTAGCTTCGATGATGGCGCATTCAACAGGCTCTTCACTTCGAAGAAAGAACGAATGTTGGTCATCGAACGCCGTATGGAACGCCACGTCAACCTCGACTTCCGACACCGAACCAATGAGAGTTTGGAAATGGTGATTCAGAGCCAAAAGGAACTCTTGTATCGCTTGCCAAACCAACTGAACGAGCAAAGACTGTTCCTCGGCGAGTCGCTTCAACAATTACTAGAACAACAACAAATCTTCATTCTGGATAGACCCCAGACAACTTTGATCACAACAATGATTGAGGGAACAGTAGAAGGACGCTCGGATGTGGCGGTTGATGATCAAATTAGACCGCAAACCCCAGAACTGGAGGTTCCTCTCGGCTCACAAGCGCATTACAGGTACAACCGCGCAGAGATCCAGGCCGAGCTAGCCATATTTACCACTCAATGGAAGGATCAAGTTGAACATCTAACAGAGGCTTCCAAGCAAGCATCGCTTCTCCAGCTCGATAGACAGGTTCATCATCGCTTGCAAACCTGGCTGCGAGATCTGAGCACCACCAATTTCTGGATTCAGGGCCCTTATGACGTCTCACGACCTAGCCAAAATTCTATGACGGCTGTATCTTTGACAGCGCTGGCACGGACCCATAACATCCCCTTTGTCGCCTACTTTTGCACGTTCACAGATCATGATGCCTTGGGGATGCCCACGAGAGCCGGCCTTGAGGCGTTCATGGCTTCCATTATCATGCAACTCGTCCAGCTAATCCCAGAAAGGGGTTATTCCCGAGCAGACCTATGTCCTGCACGATTTGCTGCCCTTGCAAAAGGGGCCTTAGATGCGGGCGAGACGCTCCAGCTGATCCGCGATGTGCGTGAGCTAGGCCCGAGATTGGTGCATGCCTTCATAGACAAACTTCAAGTATTGGAGGATCGGTCCGACCAAGCCTACACCAGAGATTTTCTAAGCACTATAGCATCACTGTGTCGCCTGAATGGCGGGAGCCAGCTCTCAGGGATTCCTACCGCACCGAATACAAGCGAGTTGATGTTCAGAACCAAAATCTGCTTCACTACGGAGGGTTACGTAGATGGTCTGGCGCAGGCTGTAGAGCTGCAATTACTTGATAAGATTGAATTTGACCTGGAAACAACCGAGCCTACGTCGATGGAGGTTGGTGGAAGATTGGAATGAGATTTATGAGGAGAGAACCCAATGTTATACGGACTGTAGAATTGTTGCCACTTTTTAAAGAGGATCAAGACTCGAGCAATAAATTGATGTACTTTACTCTAAACTGCAGAAAGACTTAGGTAAACTTAGAGTATACTTAGTGGGTCCTTAGACTAGCTTTTGAAAAGTTGACCTAAAGTTAGAAGTACTTTGCTCAGAGATATCTAAGTCGGATTCTTCATCCTCACACAAACACACACTACTCTGCCACATACCTAATCACGAATTGTACATATCAGCTGCTGATTGAATCAGATGACAATCTACGTATCTATGTAGCCCTAAGCGTCAGTAGTATCGCCATCACCCGAAGACTTCTTCGAGGGAGCACCATCACCTGAGAACGGATCAGTTTCCAAGGCTTCATTCCACTGAGAACATGTTCCTTCAGGGACAACACCTTGCTTCTCCAAGTCCTCGAAGACATTCAAGATCCAGCGCTGACAGAGCAACGGAGGGGCTTGGCGGACAGCAGCCTTGATCTTTTGCCTATCCTTTTCAAGGACCTGTGTAATCAAGTGACGCCTATCAATACCATGACTTTCAACGCGCTTAGGCTCAATGGTAACTTCATATGGCTTACCGTGCATGGGCCCGCCAGTTATATGATAGAAGATTGCATGAGTGGCATCTTCTTCGGCAAGCATGAGAATCCAATGTCGAGGTTGACCTTGACCTCGCTCCTTTGAGACGGCCAGATAGAGGTTGAGCATCCCCATTTGAGGCAACTAATAGGAAGATCTGCAATTTTAGTCTTTTTAAAGGTTAGTAGTTGGTTTATTGTATAGCAATAGCCGGGATATGACCGTAGATTGGAAGTGGTAGTGCACACGGAGAGAATAGTTATGGCACCCCTCTTATTATGAGAACTTTGCGGCTTGAGTGAATGATATTCCAAGGGAATTCTTTTTTATCTGAAGCTCTGTTCTACATTTTCTTATATTGCAAGACCTTTTATCACGAAACTGCAATCTGCCGTAAGAGCGATGGCACTGTCAACATGAATCCATTGTGAACATTGGGATATGCCGAAGAACATCATTCATCGTTACTCCGAACCCAATAGAGATAATGGACAGACACAAGAAGCCTCTTTTCTGAGTAGTAAGTTGATATGAACTGTTTGAAAACAGAGTTTTGAGAGCTATTGCTTGATGTCAGACTCTGTGAGTCAAAGTGTCATGACATTGATACCCATCTTATAACAAACAGTAATTACTCTCAAGAAGTTTATTTTTCCAGTGTCGCAGACTGAACGGGTATAAACTGGCATGAGCTGAACAGCTCATCTAATCTGAGATTGCGGTCGCTTGTTGACTCTGTTCATCTGGATCAAGTCCGACCAGGGCTAATCAGGTGGAGGAAGCCTTGGAAGTCAGGCATTTACTTTACCAGCACTATTGCCTGCGTGTGGCCGATGTAACCTCTGAACTTAAACTTCGCATGTATCATGTGAACAATAGCCAGCCCATCAACTCGCACGAACATAGGCAAGTAGTGTTGACGATGGATCCAGACCAGTTAGATACACACAAGAAAATGCTCCGAGACATTGCGCGCACCGCTTATGACAGTCGTGTGCCTTTCAACAGCATCACTTCTGAACGACACCGCCAAATATTAGACCGCGCCATCAGAAATGTCCTGTCAACCGAATTAGCACAGTTCACATACGCCCAAATCATAGATGGCCTCCCCATTGCGGATGTTGCATGGGACCGTCGACTTCCTGGTATCATGGGAGAGCACATCATTGATGACCACGAGACGTTGTGCCCCGGTGCTCTAGAGCAGGCACAAGTTTACTACAAAGAATGGGACCCTTCTGGTCTCAATTTCGATCCCGAGGTAAGTCATCGTACCGTATTCAATGACAAAGATCGGCCACGTTACCATTATCAGCTTGCTCATTTTGACGTTCCTCACTAACAATCCATCCAGACTCTAAAAGCCTTTCAAAGGGCCGAACCTGCCTCCAAACACTTCAATATACGCCTAGTTGAGTTGGTAGCTGTAGCTCTGCATCAAATAGCAGTTTGGCTACATAAGGTCGAACCCCATCTTCACCAAGGCGATATTGACGCTGTCACATACTGGGAGATGCCGCTATCTGAGACGATGGCTCGGTTTCCGCCCGGACCTACCCTTTTCAGTCACCACGATTATCTTGACGACGATATATACCCAGAAGGGGTGGCAGATATGATTGGTTACTGGGCCGAGGATCGCATTCTGGGCGGTGTAACTGTCTTCGATCGACGCCCCGAAAATCCGAATGAGATACCCAACATCTATTTTCACCCATGCCGTAAGAGTCAGACGATAAGAGTGTACCAACTACGAGATGATCAGCAACAAGCTCTCTTCGAATTTCTTCTACAGGAGGAGCCGGGCTCATTACCATCACCTCTGCCGATTCTTGGCGACAAGCAGAATCGCGTGAGAGTCGACGCACCGAGAGCACTCACGTACCATCATATTTACAGAGATATCTGGGAAAGAAGACCATTAACTATTGTAGAAATGAGAATATTTGACAGAAGACCGAAAGACGAGCCTGATTACCCCGAAGTCGGCGATATGATACGTCGCATCAATGCGCAGGGCGGCATTCCACCACCGCAGCCTCGCCCGCGCTCTTTGTCGCCGCCGAAGAGGCAGGATTCCAGGGAGAAGAATTATAGAGACAGAGACTAATGATAGTGGTCCACTTTGCCCTCAAGAATTGGAACTATCGCCTTGGAATCGCTCTCCCCTGTGAAGAATCGGCATATCATCCGTGACGCCCTTGATCTCACTCTCGCAAAACTCAACTTTGAAATGCCCACTGAAGATCTCCTTTGCAAACCCATCCGAGGGCACGTCACTCTTCTCGTCCTCAACTCCGTCGCCGAAAAGATACAAAGCATCCAAGCTTCCAGTCGCGACACTGATATCCTTCCCATCGGGATACCAGAACAAAAAGGAGCCACAGTCGCCGCAAAAGCCCCGCGCGATATTTTTGGACTTGCGATATCTCTTGATCTTGTCCTCCGAGTCACCCTGCCATTCGATAGCGGAGAAAGGAACCGTCAAAGTGGCGAGGAAAAAGCTTCCTGTTTGTTTGCGACACTGGGTGCATTGGCAAATGCACCCTAAAGAGTCTTTGGAAAGATCGTGATCTTTGGGGAAGGAGATCTTGTAGCGGACAGCTTCACATAGACACCCGCCCTCGAGGATCTTGGATGATGAGTTTGCTGAGGACGCCATGGTGACTTCTTCTTGGACCGCTAACAGTAAAAGTCTTGAGTACCGACAATAACAGTTGAAGATAAAAGGTGGTAAATGTTCATTGCGTTTAGAAGTCACCGCTCGCAGCCATGACGACATGTAAAGCGGAGGGCATGTCAACAGCGCCCTTCTCCTTTGGCGTGCCACGTCACACTGTTATCGATAGAATCCTTGACTTTATTAATGATACACTTGCTAATGTAAAGTAAAATGGTATTTTTCTATCAAGATCTAATTGTATGTTATACTCTATCGTTTCATCATTCATCAAAGCTGTGCTGTATGTCTTTATTTGGGATGCATTGGGAGGTTCTCTACAGCCCAAGCCCGCTGTGCATCAATGTATTCCTGAGAGAAAGGATAATCATTGTATCCAATCTCTGATCCTCGGACGTAAAAGGTAGTGCGGTCGTACTTGGTCAACTCAACGCCATGCTTGACCCTCCAGACGAAATCGGGGTTCGCAATGAAATGGCGTCCGAAAGCAACGAGAACATCCCACTTGCTGTAGTGCCCATCGAGGACCTCAGCCGCTGACGCAGGGCTGTAGTTGCCGGCAACAATTACAGGTGAGTTATTGTCCCAGATGTCGAGGATGAAGTCGAGGGTTTGTGCGTCAAGTGAAGAGTCGGTGTCGGGAGCAAGCAGCTTGGCGGGGTCACCGCGGGCTTCGACAAGAGAGAGGTAAGCTAGAGGGCCAATCTTCTTGATTTCGTTGACGATGTAGGAGTACTGCTCCTTGATATCGGATGACTCGGCTCCTTGGAAGGAAGCATATGGTGAGAGGCGAAGAGCAACGCGCTTGGAGCCAATCTCGGCTGAGACAGCCTTGACGATCTCGAGCAGAAGACGTGCTCGGTTCTCAACAGAGCCTCCCCACTTGTCGGTTCGCTTGTTGACGGAGTCGGATGTGAACTGGTCAATCAAATATCCGTGAGCACCATGGATCTCAATCATATCACCACCAGCGTCAATGACACGTCGAGCAGTAGCGACGAAGTCCTTGATGAATCCCTGGATCTCTTCCTCAGTCATGGCCTCGGGCGCAGGTGCACCCTCCTCAATAGGTACAGCGCTAGAAGAGCGATACTTGAAGCCGCGCTCCTTCTGGTACTCGGGATCAGCAGCTCGGCCTTGACCCCAAATTTGCTGCGACCAGAGTGATTTGTTTGCGTGAACGCCGCCAATGACCTTCTTCCAAGCAGCGACTTGTTCGTCTGTAACGAAGGCGGGACCTTGGCGCATGCCGGTGTCTTGCATTGAGACGCCAGTGGCTTCAGAGATGATGAGGGTGCCGGGCGCTGAACCTCGCTCGGAGTAGTATCGCTCCACGAAGGGCTTTGCGACGTGGTTGTCGTCATTGCGGTAACGGGTCAGAGGGGCCATGACCATGCGGTGTTCGAGTTGGACATTGCCGACTTGGATTGGCTTGAATAGCCTGCTGTTGGGAGAGATTGTGGTGGTTGTCTTTGTGACTGTCATTTTGAATGTGAATGTTGGTCAAGTACAGGGCAATGAAGAAAAGGCAAAAGCGATGCTGGAAGGACAAGTTCTATGATTCAGAGTTATGATCGTGGTGGAGAAGCTAGCTAGAGCCATGGTGTCTTCTTATACTCTGATCGAGTGAAAAATTAGATTGAAGATCAACGTTATTATCTTGGTCACCTTGAGGGTTGCGACATGCGATTATG